ATCGTACAGTAAGAGTGACAGACGTAGGATATTAGGTTCCAAGTGTCATAAGGCTTACCTGTTATTACACGTGGCAGTCGTGTAGTAAGTCTTATCGAGTGTAGGGGAGAATCCGGATCTGTTTAATGCCATACCCTCGCTCCAGAGTAGGCTGTTCCATAGTCACTAGTTTAGGGTGAAGTGATATCTTGGGACGCCCCGCTCTACCAGGACCCCATAATTATAAAGCCTCAATTATTGTTCTTCTCATTATCTCATTCGGGGTCAATATATAATTAAGTATCTAAGGGTTGTTAATCCGGATATTTATATTAATGCCGTAATACGCCCTTCCTCTTTCAAGTCTCTTATCCTTATCTAAGGATCTTATCAGAAGAACATTATTCATAAGTGTAATTTCCCTAGGTATAACTTAGGTAGTTTCCGGGACTTTCTGGTTATCCACTGCCGTGATATTTTCTAGGGTAATCCACTTATCTTATCTTTTTGACCATTAATTAATTTATCTAGGTTTTCTTAATGGCCACCTCAGGATTTGTTAAACTTGGTAGTCCTGGAGGAGTGGAAGAGCAAGATACCATTTCACATCTTGAAGCATGTGGAGGAGCGTGGAGAGGTAAATTTAGGGCGTGCGGCTGAGTTGGCTGAGCGTACGCCTTGCTGGTGGAGTCACTGTGCTGTAGGGAACGTGGTACTTTCCGGCATGTTAGGTCCTCCTCTGATGATAACCATGGGGACGTGAGTGGTAGGTCGAAAGGTCCCACACCTACCCCTCCTGATGCAACCAAGTTTTATTGTTCTTACTGTAAAAAACCAGGCCATATGATCCAGTCTTGTAAACACCCAAAGTGTCGAACTGCTAATAGTAGTTCCCTGGATCCCAAATCCAAACCAATAGCACCCACCAATGTGGAAAGGCCCCATCAGGATCTCTTCTCTTCATTCACTTATGAGGGAAAATTTTCAATCATAGAGGGGTCTCGTTCTTTCCCTATTCGTATACTACGTGATACGGGCGCAGCACAATCTATCCTCCTGTTTAACGTCATTCCTGATATATCTACCGCATTTACTAATGAGAGTGTTCTAATTTCAGATCTCTCATCCCATTCTTCCTATCCCTTAGCTAAAGTGCACCTCCAATGTCCCATGATTACTGGGGAAGTGCAAGTAGCCATTAGGAAAGATCCAATGCCTGTGAGCGGCATTCATTTATTATTGGGTAATGACTTGGTAGGAGATCTAGTGGTTCCCAACATAAAGACCGTCGACTCTCCCTTACCTGTCAACTCCACCACTGACCTTGAAGAAACTATTCCTCACCTTTTCCCATCTTGTGCTGTCACCCGGTCACAGAGTGTGCGAAATGGGCCCTCTTCAAATAAAACCACCTCCAATATCTTCCTACCCACAGAAGATCTGTACAATAAGACCATTAGTAAGGATGAGCTCATTAAAGCCCAACAATCTGATCCATCTTTGAATATGAAAGACCTCAGTGTGGACCATTGTACATGTTGGGCTTACCACCCACCGTCCCAAGGTTGCTTGGAACGGTTTCATCAAAACATTCAAATCAATGCTAATAAACTATCTCCCCTCAACTATATAGTCCATACTCCTGGTCGCAGAAAAGATTCACAACTTGTTCACATTAATCTCCTGAAACTTTAAAATTCCAGGCAGTCAGAGGAAGACATCACAGAGGCTATAAGCCTACCTGTATTGCATACGGTTTTGTCAGGGCCGGAACCGGAGACAGATGACTTGGACCTATTGGAGAATTTAGACTTCCCTCTACCTAAAGAAAACCCTGCTAACCGTCACATTCTCAACAACTTGGATGAGTATTTTCTGTTCTGAATCCATCTCAAGCAAAAGATCTCACTAAGGTATTATCAACATATCCTAAAGTCACGTCAGACCTCCCAGGGTTTTGCAATATACTTAAACATGATATTAAGCTAATCTCAGATGATGTACAACCCATTAGGCAATCAGCATATCGACTAAATCCACAAAAAAGAGAGATTATGAAAAAGGAGGTAGATTTTTTGTTAAAACATAACTTAGCTGAGCCTAGTACCTCCCCCTGGGCTTCACCTTGCCTTCTCATTCCAAAACCCGATAGCACTTTTCGTTTCTGTACCGATTATCGTAAAATGAACCAGGTCACTGTCTCAGACTCCTACCCTTTACCTTTGATTGAAGATATAATAGACAGCATAGGCTGTGCAAAATCTATCAGTACCGTGGACCTGTTGAAAGGATATTATCAAGTGAGAGTCACGGATAGGGCAAAAATAATCTCAGCATTTATAACTCCATTTGGTCTTTTTCAATATTTGGCTATGGCGTTTGGCTTTTCTAATGCTCCGGCCACGTTCCAGAGGGCCATCAATTACCTGATTCAGGACCTAGGTGGGACGTTCGCCTACCTGGATGACCTGATGGTGGTGTCGGACGGCTGGGACGAACATCTGGTGCGTTTGGAGATACTGTTCGCACGACTGCAAGAGACTGGATTCACCATAAACCTGGCTAAATCTGCTTTTGGCCGGGCCTCAGTGACTTACCTGGGACATATCGTTGGGCATGGTATGGTGAGACCCAAGGACGCAAACGTTAAAGCCATCTTGTCCTTCCCCACTCCAAGGACGAGGAAGGAACTCATGCGCTTCCTTGGGATGTGCGGCTACTACCGTCGGTTCTGCAGTAACTTCTCCAGCGTGGCCGGACCCCTCACAGACCTTACCAGTTCTGCGGTCCCTTACATCTGGAACCAGAGGTGCGACCAGTCTTTCCACCGCCTCAAAGCCTTCCTTGCCTCCAAGCCTGTAGTCCACCCCCCTGACTACACCTTGCCCTTCCATTGCAAATCGACGCTAGCGGTGTCGGAGTTGGGGCTGTGCTCCTACAAACCGACCCAACCACTGATGTCCTTCACCCTGTGGCATACTACTCCGCCAAGTTGAAAAAACATCAGACCAACTACTCGACCATAGAGAAGGAGGCCCTGGCTCTGGTGTTGGCAATAAAGAAGTTTGAATGTTACCTCCAGTCTTGCCCACAAACAACCCTAGTCTTTACCGACCATAACCCACTCACGCTCATCCAAACCAACAAGACCTCCAACCAGCGAATCCTCCGCTTGGCTCTCCTCACCCAGCCCTATAATCTACAAGTCCGGCACATAAAGGGGGTGGACAACCTGATTGCAGTCTCCTTATCCCGAGCTCCAGTGGAAATGCAGCAGCTACTCTCCAGACGCACCAGGTGATCACCTCCTTCGCGCCCACGCTATGGAGGTCTTTGGAGGGGGGGTGTGTTACAAACCACGCCACCAATTATCATGATCTACCTACCCAGCACTACGAACCACGCCATCTATTGTCCTGAACTACCTACCCAGCACCACGAGCAACGCCATCTAGGGACGAAACCCGAGTATGACTACTCTTAGTTACCACTCCGGGGTTTCCCTTCTCCATATCCTGGTTGTTCCGTCACCTCCTCAAAGTCTTCCTCGTCAGCTCCAGTTCGATGAGAGTTCAGTTCACTCTGGGAAGTGACCACAGGATCACCTATCCTGGAAACCTACGGCACAGTGACTACCTACCGTCTTCTACAATACTCAGCCTTGCTCGTCAGCCATCTCAGCTCCGCACTTAAGTATTTGTAATCTTGTATTGCCTTCCCACCTCCACATGCTTTAGAAAATTGTTTTATGTTGTTTAAATATGTATATACTGTTAATGTTTAGGTTTAGTATGGTTAAGGGTAAATTATAGAAAGCTGAATATTTTGTTAAGGAATTTATGGTACTTTATTATACACAACAAAAACTCGCATCCTTTGTCTACCCTTTTATAGTCCGATTGTCTTTGTTTTTTTTTTTTTGTTGCCTGTTGGGATCTGGGTAGACTTTTAACTGTATTTTAAATCCCCAACTCGTAACAATAGGATCCCACTAGCTTTCTTAGGCCCAATCGCAGAAACTACATTATGAACTGGAATCCATCGATGACTGGCTTGGCCAAAGGCAATCCACATGTTATCAAGACGAAACTCCTGTAGTGATGACAGTACAGATACTGCTATGACGACCATGTCAGTGTCATTGGCATGATGATGAGGGACTTGCTACTTTCCATTGCTGCATCCCTAGCATGCACAAATATTCTTGTGTCTGCTTCCTCATGACAGCAAGGACTAACAGCTTCTAGGGACTTCTCTGTGTTGCTAATGGCATCTTTTCCCATTGTCACAACCACCGTGCTTGTCGTCTGTCGAGAAAATGGAATAGTTCTGTCTTGTTTTTGTCATCTCACAGAAAGCTTCTTCAGTTTTTGGGAGTCTTACCGGTTCCTGAAACTCTTCTCCTGATCCCCTGTCCTCGTTTCGACCTGGCTTCAGACTTCAGACTTTACTTTTTGTACATATCTAATACTACATCCACCCTATTGTATTTGTCACCATAAAATTCCACTTTGGGCAGGAAGTCTTCTCTGGCATAGGAATCAAAAGTCTTTGAGGTGTGCGGAGGTAGGGCATTGATCAGTGCTGAGCCATCTATGATGATAGCATCTCCATGTGGTTCTCTCTCTGTAGCATTCACATGTGCTTGAAGAAATTCAGCCAGCTGTGACTTCTGACACATATGAAGCTTGCCATTGTCACTGAGGGAAGCAGGAGCTGACAGTCATCTTTCAGTACCTTCTCTTTGGAAGTGCTAACAACGTGGTCATGTTTGAAGAAGGAGAATCTGTTTTTTTGATTGGATGGTAGAACAGACATTTGCCTTCATTCTTTTGTCCCTCTAAGAATGACTGGAATTGTTCTTTTCCTCTGTCTTGGTATGTACCAAGCATTTTAGCAAAATCTGGATCTACAATGTTCTTTGTGTCTAACACCAGATGACTCTTCTTGGAAAGGGTTGTCCATCTTCTGCAGCACCTTGGAATGTGCTTCCACCTTCTCAAAGAAAGATTTCTGTGCACTCAGGGTCTGCTCGTGATGGTGGTGGTTCCATCTTTTGCACCTGACGCAGCTTCATATCCAGCAACAAGACGACTCACTTCAGGTCCCGTCACCATCCACCTACGAAGTGCTGCTGGGTCCTCAGTCAACCCAATTGCGCCTCCATCGCCTTTAATCACTGCATTGTTTTGTTCATGGGCTTGATCAATAGCAATGGCAGAGAACTCTCTTCCTGACTTTTGGACAACAAAGTTCCTCTTGTAGAACTCCCTCGCTACCTATGGATGCTGTTGCTCAAGGCACATCATGTCTCGAAGGTGAATTAGAATCCATCGGGCATAATTAACATTTTTGTTAGCAAAGAAGTATGGGATCAGCTCTGAGAGTGCTTCAAGGTAGAGTTTGAAATTGCCTTCCCTGAATGAGCTGATCAACATGAAGATGGTGGGCTCCATATCCAGCACACGGTTCCAGAATTGGTACTGTGAACTCTCAAGCCTCCGTTGTTTACACCAGGCTTTAAAGCTCAAATTTGACCTTTCAGCCTCATCAGAGCAATAGTCCTGGTATGCCTCCTTCATCAGTTTGTACACGCTGCATGCTGTGACTTGATGTGCTAGTCTTGTCTTAGTTACGCTTGATACAGACAGAAAAGACTCTACTGTACCAGATGAAGCTACTCCTGCTTCAACAAGGGAACCGGTCCAACCACTGTCTTGTTACTAGTGATCTCAGTGCAGCCATCTCTAGGTGAGGTCCCCCAAACATAATAACATACCTGTCTTCTCCCTACTCAGGCCAATGCCATTTAATTTATTTTGCCAGGGCATACAGTGGTTGGTAAGCAGTTATGACTGGGATCTGACCTGGGTTCAGAAGAGCCACTGCATCACGAACCTTTTCCATGACATGCTTGATGGTTGCCACAGAGTGTGCCTGATCTCGAAGCAAGGGAAGCAGAGACGAAATGCTCACTTCAAATGGCTGACTCCTCTTCTGTGCTGCATGGTGAGCTGTCCACGTGATGCAGACTTCATCAGCCACATCCTCAGTGAGCAAGACCTCTTCCAGCCAGGCATACTCTTCCTGCAGGTGTGGACTGGATTGACTCAGGTGCTGGCAATGACTGGGGATCTACCAACTGAGGATTGGGTTTCTTCATAATATAAGCTGGTTGGACATTGGTGAATGCCTCTGGAAGTTTAGGAACTTTCTTGACCATCGTATCTGTATTCCGTCTGAGTGGCTCACGCTCCTCATCAGCCTGCTCAGGGCTTGGATGTTGGAAGATGGACACACTGGTCCCATGGAAGGACGTTTTGACCGTAGTCGCAGTGGGGTTGTGGTCAATGTTGTCCACTGCTGAAGTCGTGAACAACTGCTTCTTCAAGATTGGTGGACACACCACTTCATCTTCCACGTATTGATATACAACTGCTTCTCCTAACTGGGCTGATAATTGTAGAACTCTGTCATATGAAATGCTGACCTCATTTTCATGCAGCATGTCGATAAGCTGCCTCTTTTTTGTCTTAGCAAACACAGACATGCCGACGTAGATAGCAAAAGGTGTGTCATGGTCCTTGGAGCGTCTGTGGATTTGTGTTCCTACCTTGTAGTTGGCAAAGCAGTTGTACTGTAAGAGCTGTGACATAGCAAGGTCAGACTTCGATGCGCCATGCTGGAGTTGGGATTTGATATCTGCACCATGTTCGATCATGCATACAAATTGAAGCAGTGATGGTGGAACAGTCTGTTCAATGCATCCTTCATGAAATGTACTGCTGAAGTGTGACTTGTGCTGAAGCATGTCCTGTCGTATCATCCCAGCAGCCTTGGCCAGATGGATCGCGTCACCGTATTTGCATGCTTGTGCCAGGATTGAGCAAACATCCTTTTCAAAGGCCAGTAGGATATCTCTTCCTTGGTGATAAGCTTGCAGCTGGGGGATGTGTAAAAGCAGCTTGTCCTTCAGTTGAGTAGCATGAACATAGGACGATCCAACACCCAGCTGCTCAAGTCTCTGTCTGTAGAGTGTGACCAGGTCAGCAAGTCTGAAAATGGGTGGTTCAGTACCTTCACTAGAAGCTTTCATCTGTGTGATGTAAGTGACTAGCTCTTGTAACCATCATCTCCTATTTTGGCAGGATTTGCATGTGGAGACTTAACATCTTCCTTCTGTTCATGTTGACAAAGACAACACTTTGCCCAGTCAGTGAGGAATGATTTGTTGGTAGATTTTGTGTTCATAACTATTTTTGATCTTCAAGGCCGAAGGTTTATCCTTTTACCACCATGATGAGCACCTTCTTGTATGGGATACAACTAGGTTCATGCCTTTTGCCTACACCTGGTCCGATCGTTCATCCAGTGTCATTAGTCCCGTGCGATCTGTACACAAACCAGATAACTAAAACTCCTTTATCCTTGGGTCGGCTCTCCTGCGCTGGCACATCCTGTCAATTCCGGTGCGGCTGCTTAACTGATTTGTGGTTGGTTAAGCAGCATTCGGGACACTAAGCTGTTGCAGTATGACATGCTTTTTCTTAGCTGACACTGAACCCCATGCTGGGTTGCACAGCAGTGATGTCACCAGTGTGTCCTAGACAACACTGCCCTCACATGCAAAGACCCTCTGCATGCTACCCTCACCTAGTTGGAAAAATCATAAAACCAGTACATAAAACCAGTCATAAATAAGACAAATATATATCTGAGAGTATCAGAAATAGAAAAAATCATCTGAGCATGCTTGAAAACATACATATCGACGCTAAGATCATTTAGATTGACGAACTACATCAATTTCTACAAAAAAAAAAATCATTTCTCGAAGGTCAATTTGGCAGCCATCTTGAAAAATGGCCGCCATCTTGGATTTCCAAATGGCCAATGAGGCAGATTTAACAAGTAGCACCTAGGGTATGATCATGCCAAATTTCATGCTTGTATCACCATTTGCACGATTTTTCCATTATATGCTCTACTATTATGACCGCGTTACTCAAGAAGCTACCCTCCAGCGAGTACACCTGTCACCTGACCAGACACACCCAGATTTGTTGTGACACCTTCCGGCTGGAGAGCGTCAATATATAGGCCCTGCAGCTCCCTCTCAAGAAAAGTTGAACCGCATCTCCAGCTAGCAGAGTCTCCCACAAGAGACATAGTCCAGCACTCCCTTCAGCAGCACCTGCTGGGCCTCCCTCAGGTCACATGCAAGTCTTTGTCAGAGCGATCCAGAGGTGAGTTACTTAAGGTGGGAAGTGTTTGGAATTGGTTAATCTTACCGCCACACCACCCCGTTAAGTACAGTACTGCGGTGTCCCTCAGGACTCATTTAGTTTAAAACTCGAGTTGAAACACGACGACCCTCTTCAAGGGAAGATGTTCTTTAATAATATGGGCGTTAGGCTTTTAACAAACCAAAACTTTTTGCGGTTTGGTGACATTGTGATGGTCAGAATCTTTTAACACTGCGTTTATGACCATGAAAATGAAGGTTGGTCTCCTCAGCGTGACAGTGTGGGGGCAGCACACTGTGTAACAAGTTTTGGGTGCACAAGGAGACAGCATGGCCGACACTGCACTCGACCGTGCTTACAGTTGTGAGACAAAATCTGCCTTTATTTCAGTCTGAAGAAATAGGAAGGTTTAAAAGTTAATGGTTAAATGTGTCTGTCTAACACATGTGAGCTTAATAAGGTAAATACATCTGCACGTGTTGTGAACAAGCCTCGGTTGTAGGTACTACAGATCCCAGCTTAACCTAACCATTAGTTTGGACCAGTTATGTCTGGGACACAACAAGACTTGTCACCATCACGCGCGGCAGAGTCAGACCCACCCAACATGTCTAACAATTCACCTAACGATGTAGCTGAGCATTTAAGAGAGTTTCTGTCATCTAATTAATTTAATTGGCTTCCACACGATAAAGAAAGATACAAAGAGACCAATATATTCCCCCCAACAGAGGTTAGTACACGTGTCGCCTGTCTGGACAGCATCAACAGATATAAAGTGGTAATAACAAGCACAGTTAAGTGTATAGTTGTACAGATATATGGTTTAATAATTTTGGTGGTGAAATACACTTGAGGAGGCGGCTGTGGTCCTGGTGTAGCCCATCAACCTTGATTGTCTCCTTATATTACCACTTACCTTCACCCCAGCGTGTTTGACAGTCCTCGGTGAGTGTGTAGGTGGCGGGGTGAGGAGCTGTAGCGTACTAGTGCCCGGAGTTTCCTCACCTTTGTCCACCTAGTGTACTTGCTCTTTCTCTTTTTAATGACAATATTATTTTATATTTAAGCAACGATTGTATAATAGTTAATATATAAAAGGGAAAGTCTATGGTAGTTTTAGCAATATGGACAATAATAGTTAAGATAGAGCAGTAATAGAAATGGAAACTTTTAAGGATTCAAGATAAAATGATAATATTCAGTATTATTCCCAGCACTCTCAGGTGTTGGCAGGTATTATACGGTGTTGACTTGTGAGAAGCGTCAACAGGTGTGTTCCGTGATAATTGATGTTCGGGGCGCTTATGTCTGACGCCCCAGTTGTGTCTAAAATGATCGCCTCTTTTTTTTAATGTGCTCCGTGAAAAGACGACAACAGATGTGTGAGTTGTTTTCTGTTGAAATATTATAGAAAAGGAATTTAGTTGAGGCTATACTATTTTGTGTTTGTAAACCAGGAAGCTTTTGAAGAAATAGCTGTACAATTTAGTTAAGGATTCATGTAAAGAGTAGAGGTACAGTTGCTTACACTTCCACCTGGTACAGTTGCTCCTAATTCCACCTAGTACAGTTAGCATTGCCAATCGTCTCTCTCTGTCTTTGATATGTGAACTCGTGAGCGTTTCGGAATCATGTTTCGATACTTCCTGGGTTCACACATCATGGAGAAAGGATTGGCAATGCTAACTGTACCAGGTGGAAGTGTGAGCAACTGTACATATGAGGATAGTAACTTGGATATTATTGGTAGTTTTTATCTAGAACCTACTAAACCCAGTCAGTCACACATACAGTAGTACTACTTATTGAGGTGTACAATACAGGTAGGATAATTCCCATATGGCAGCAGAGTTATTTTTATTATTATTATTGTCGTTGTTATTAATATTATTATTTTTATAATTTGTATTATTTCTACTATTATATTATTATTTGTATTGTTGTTGTTTTGTTATTATTATTATTATTGAATTTTATTATTATTATTGTTCTTATTATTATTGTTTTTGTTGTTATTTTGTAGATATAATTTGTCAGTGAATTCCTCCAGGGTTTTATTCCACCTTTCGTTTCTTTACGGTGTCTCACGAGGATATAGACCTTGATACAGACGGCCCCACTCCAGAGACCGTGTGTGTTGGTGCGAGCTGCTGTGTAGTGTACTGTACCTGGCGTGGTTCTCTGCTTGATCCTGTATCACTAAGGGGAGGATCACCGCGTCTCATAATACTGACCATTTGTTGCCCACCTGAAGTTGAGAATTGAAAGATGGACAAAGAAATGATGATATGAAATGAAGAAGTAAGATAAATGCAAGGAGCGTTAGGTAAAAAGATGAGAGGTTAGAAGAGTTAAGGTAGAGTAATGAGAGGTAATGAGGCGGGACATGAGGGGAAAGTGTTGTTATTCACAGGTGTGTCGGGGGGGGGGGTGTCAGTACCTATCTGCCGTCACCAGGTGTGTCGCTCTACCTCCTGTCTCGTAACTCATAAGTTTGTTGAGTTTTACTGAGATCTATCCATTAGTTTTTGGAGGCGTTGGTTGAAGACATGAATACTCTATAATTATGTATGTATTCATAATAAAATTTACTGTACATGTATGCAAGCGTACAAGAGCATACACATTTAAATACTATTATATACATATTCACATGGATTCATATATATATATATATATATATATATATATATATATATATATATATATATATATATATATATATATATATATATATATATATATACTAGCGGAATCGCCGCCCTCCGGGCGGCTCTTTCGCTAGGTCACGGTAGGACGCCACCCTCCGGGAGGCTCCACACTGTCTCACTGTAGTGCATTAAGGTAGACCACATTTTTGGTTTTGCCACTAGGAGCAAGTATGTACAGATTTTTGCCAGTTCCCACTCTAGAGCATCCAACATAGAACTGTCCATGAGAGAAGCAAGGAAACACCAGGTTTAGGCCAACCATCTTTAGGGACTGTCCCTGGCTTTTGTAGATGGTCATGGCAAAGCTCACTTTAACCGGGAACTGAAGTTGCTTGAACTCAAATGGCAGGTCAGTGATGATGAGAGGTATCCTTGGTATAAAAACGTCCTCTCCTTTAGCTTTTCCTGTCAGTATTGTAGCTTCCAGTACATGTGGCATCATGTTCTTCACCACCAGTCTTGTGCCATTGCAGAGGATTGGTGGTTCAAGATTTCTTAAGAGCATTATAGGAGTTCCAATCTTGAGAGTGAGGTGGTGAGGAGGCATTCCAGCGGGCTCCAAAGAATTAAGGAATTCTGCAGGGTACTGGACTGCTTGGTCCTGGTCGATTACTGTATCAACAGATTTGAATGAGGTCTCATTGCCTGGAAGC